GCTTGAGCCCAGGAGTTGGAGGTTGCTGTGAGCGTGATGCCATGGCACTCTACCCAGGGGGATAGCTTGAGGCTCCGTCTCAAAAAAAAATAAAAATAAAAAAAAATAAAACCTCCCTGATGCATTACATTAATAACAGAGGAAATACAGACATTAATAACAGAGAACGTGGGGGCAGATAGAAAGGTCTCTAAATAAGTGACACTTCTCACCTCCATGATAGTTTTAAAAGCTGGAAATGTACAAAGAGGGACAAGAAAGAAAAAGAGTGGAAACTGAACACGTTTCCAATGTGTCAGATGATCGCAAGGTTGGCAATTCCTAGATAACACCCATACCTTGTTAAGTGTAAGTACAAAACAAAATCGTGACACTGCCAAAGCACATTTACCACTCTTCTGTATGCTCACAAAATCACCACAAGGGAAAGCTAACAGCACTTTTTAAAAAACCTATCTAAGTGTTCTTTACAATCTGGGTTTGAACCCTTTGAGCCACAGGTGCTGCCCAATCTTTACAATTTCTTAAATCTGCAATAGTTAACGAGCACAAAGTTGATATAAACCAATGTTTAGTAATCAACATTAATTTATATTAAGGTTTTGACTATGAAAAGTATAAGATAGGCCGCTTGATTTAGATGAAAAAGGAAAGTATAAAAGTGAATAGAATAATCAAAAGGGTAAGATATGACAATAAAATGCCATGGGGTGATCAGAACAGACGAATCTAAACAGAGATAAAATAAATAAATAATAGGGCGGCACCTGTGGCTCAAGGAGTAGGGCGCTGGCCCCATATGCTGGAGGTGGTGGGTTCCAACCCAGCCCCAGCCAAAAACTGCCCAAAAATAAAAATAAATAAATAAATAAATAATAAATACATTTGGGACCATGTTTACCATGACCATGCAATTTACCACTGCCAACTCCCTCGCATTTCTGCTCTCCCTTACTCTGCTCGCCTTTTTATTTTTATCCCTGACACTCATCTTCCAACATGCTACGTAACTCATTAATTCTTATGGTCGGAGGTAAAAACAACCTTTAGAGACCAAGGGCCTTTGTCTTGTTCAACTGAGTAAACTGAGTATTTTACACCTAGAACAGTGCCTGAAACAGGTGATCAATTAAAAATATTGGATACAGAATGAACGGAAATATGTCCAAGACACATGTTGACCAAAAGAAATTTCAAAACTACAATATCTAATTTCTGTAAAACTGTGTAGGTTTATTTTTGTATTTGCATACACATAGAGAGGTGTCTGGAGGGATGTTCACTAAAATGGTAACCACGGTCGTCTGTTAGCAGTAAGATTTCTAGACATTTGATTTTCTTTCTTTGTGCTTTTCTACAGTGAGACTTCATTTACATAATGAACATGTTTCATTTTAAAATATATAACGTATATTACTTGTAAAAATTAAACAAAAAAAATCCCAAATCTATTTCTTCTTCTTTTTTTTTTCTTTGAGACTAAGTCTCACTCTGTCGTCTCGGGTAGAGTGCCATGCTGTGGTGTCATAGCTCACAGCAAACTCAAACTCCTGTGCTCAAGAGATCCTCTTGGCTCAGCCTCCCCAGTAGCTGGGACTACAAGTGCCCACCACAACACCTGGCTAGTTTTTCTATCTTTAGCAGAGATGGGGGTCTCGCTCTTGCTCAGGCTGGTCTCTAACTCTTGAGCTCAGGTGATCCTCCTCCCACCTCAGCTTCCAGAGTGCTAGGATTACAAGTGTGAGCCACCAGGCCCAGACTCTTCTTTGTCTTAAATCCATCAAAACCTTTAAGCAATTATTTTCCTAAGGAATCCATCCTAAATTTAATCATGAAGGTGTTTTTGAAACAAAGGCAGAATAAAGTACCAGTTGGTTGATTACCAGATAAACACATTATCACCAAAGAGAATTTCAAAACGATTACCTTGGAAACCACTTGGCATGCTCCACCCATGGATCATCTCCTGATTCCCAACACCTCAGTCCACCATCACAGCAAAAGCATTTGACATCATCACTGTGGCCTAAAATAAATTTTGGACCAAAACTTAGGAACAGATATATTTTGCCCACTAAAATGTTGAGACAAAACATGTTGAATTTTTTAATTACCAGATTAAGCTTCTTACCCATATAATAAAAACCTGCACTTGCGAGCCTCTCAGGATGAACCAGAAGGCTAGAGGGCCAGTTACAGAAGGTTTTAACGCGAGCTGCGTGCGTCTGCATGCTCAGATTAGAAACAGCGTATCTTGAAGTGTCTCGAAGCCGATTTTCTACAAACGGACAATTGGGAAAATGTTTCTGGTGTTCTGACATAGCATCGTCCTTTGGTTCCCAGTTGCTCAATTTTCCACCACAGGCAAAACAAGCCACTCTGTCTCCAGGTCCAATGTAGTAAAAACCTGCTTTTGCCAGATCTCTTGGTGACAGAAAGGTCAAGGGCCACATCTGGTAAGTGAGCAATCTGGCCTTTTCAGTGTTCATGGAACAGTGGGAAGGACTTGTCCTCAAAGCAGAAAGATTTTGATTTACTCTGGAGTTTACAGGACTTGATGGAAAGCTTGCATACGAGCCACTGAAATATCCACTGTTTTCCAAACTTGGAAGTAATGAATGTGTGGGACTTGTTACTGAAGAAGGAAAAGCAGGCTGAAAAGCAGCTTCCAAATGGTTCCGTGAACTCAGATTCTGAACAAAGCTGCAGCTGGGATACAACTTTTTATGCTTTTCAGTAGGATTGTCTCCTTGTTTCCAGTTATCCAGCATCAGGCCGCAACAGAAGCATTTGACCTTGTCATTCACACCCGTGTAATAAAAACCAGCTCGAGCAAGACTCCTTTCTGAGACGGGAACACCAGCGGGGAAAGTGGAATACGTAGACATTCTGTACAGTTCACACGAAAAGTCATACTTCAATTCAAACACGTTGGCGCTTTTCATCAAATTTGATAAGAATGTGCTATTTTCTATTATGTTCATAATGAAATGGATGGGGGAAGGGACTAGCCTTTCTCTGGGGAGGTAGTTTTGTGCATGCCCTTTGCTTTGCTTAGTTTTAGTACGAGGCGGAACACTTAGAATGAGTAACTGACATCTTTCTCTACTGGGCATTTAGGGTTTCAGCCTGCAGAGATTCTAAGTCCTGCACTGACACGTCTGAAGGGGGGATCTGCACCAGCCGCACCTTTGCTTCATCTTTATACACACAGTGTAAACCTGTGGGGAAATCAAACCCTCCATAGAACCTACAGTGTTTTAGGTGGTCAGGAGGCCATTTAGTGTCACGTGTCTCCTGGGTGGGTCACCCTCTCCAGGCCACAAGAATACTCCAGTGGGACTCAGCCAATCCCATGATAAAATGGGGAGCTATGCTCCACAAATGCCCCCACAGCAAAAATAGTCAAATCATGTTTATTTGCTTTTTTGGAAATTGTGAAGTTCGGTAGCCAGAAAAAAAACAGTGTAAGACCTATCTCAAAACAATGCATTACCGTATTTCACTGATCGTAAGATGCCTGTTTTAGTATCTCTGTTATTAAGAGGTATCTTATAATTAATGGCATATCATGTTTTAATTAGCAGCATTGTTAAATTTTTCTTAGAGGTACATAAAATACTGGTGTGATTTATAATTGATGACATCTTAGATTCAGTGAAATATGGCATACCCCCAATTTTTCCCAAATTAGTACTTGTTTTCCTACAATCATTTTAACACAAAGAAAAAAAAATCTATGATTTCCCTCAAAACAAAGAGCTTAAGTAGTAACGGAATTGGCTGATATATCTTAAAACTTGATTTCAAGATTTATTAAGTAGACGTGACAAATTTTAAAGATCATTAATTAAATTAAGAAAAAGATTTAGTAAGTAATAGTAACTTCCGTATAGATCTGTAGGAACATGGTTTTGTTTAGTCACAGTGAGCTTAAATAATTAAGTATTCTACTTAAATAAATTATTAGAGATTAATTTATTTGTTAATTTTGTCTTTTGGACTCAGCTTCCTGCTGTCGAACTTATTCAATGTTACGATTTTCTCATTCTGACAATATAATTGGCTAGCACTTAGGAAAGTCCTTTATAATTATAGTAGTAAGAGGAGCTGCAAATAGAGATTCTGCCACACCACCAATAGCAAAGTAGAACTTCATTACTATATTCAGATTATTTTTGGAAAATCAGAATGATGATACACATTATGTTTCCTGGTTTGAAAAATTCTTAAGATAACTTAGATACAGCTATAAAATAATAAAAATTTCCAAGATTTTTTATTTTTGTCTCCTTCAAAGAACATTGAGTAGAGTTACTCAATCACCTGCTAAAAACACTTTCGAACTTTTTTTATGTTTCCAGAGCCAACATAAAAATCTTCTCTTATGAAAGTAAATTTATATTTTAGAACAGTCAAAAGTCACCAAGTGCCAGGTATACACCGGCACAAATTTGAGTCAGAGATTATTTCACAGATGGCATACCTTGAACCAGAATCTGTGATGACAAAAATAAAAAAAAAAAATTTACCTAACCATTGGAACAGCAGAGATCTTCTCAAAATCAGAATTTCCCCATTATGCCTTACTAGCCATTAGGAAAGAGGCTCTGTGTTGACAGGGCTGGCAATGAGCAGTGAACGAGTCCTTATCGTCTTCCTAGAGATTTACTGTCAAGACTTCTGGATCTCACAGACCTCAGGGTTTTCTACTGCAGTCTTCAACCACTTCAAGGTGGCAGGAGAAATATCACATCTCATTACCACTGATTATTTCTGTCAAAGGTTAAGTTATTGGGTCTACTAACTTCATTACTCCTTTCACTGGTCAAAAATTTTATATACTGTTATGATAATCTCTGTATTCATCACTGTCTTTATATGAATTTTCAGTTACAAAAATGTAGCCATTCAGCCACCATTCACATTCTCAGATATAATAAACCATTTGGACACACTAAATTTTAGACTTTGAAAATATCAATGATCTTGTACATGAGAAGATGATTTCACATTCGTCACATTTATCTTCGTTGTATCTAAATTTGTTGTTTCTAATGAAAGGGTTTGTTCTCGAGACTCTTGGTCACTGCATAAGTCTTTTAACATGTCACAGGCTTCATCTGCATATTTCTCTAATTTTGCAGTTGATTGAATACTAACTCTTTGTTCTAGATGATTGTCACTCATTTTTAAATCTTTGCCAAACACAGGTACTGTTTTGTATTCTACACAGCAGCCAGCTGTAGATTGCCTACCTAACTTGGAAAAAAGTGCTTCAATAATATTTCTGAGCTATAATCACTTCTGTACTTCTAGAAATCAAATCCAAAACCAAATGCTTTACAGTCACTTTTCATATAACTAGATTGTATTTTTTTTAATTAACTTTCTTTGGATAGTATAGCAAATCACTAGCTAACAATTAATTTGTTTATTCATGCACAAAACTACCTCCCGAGATTAGACTGAGTCCCTTTTAAGGATTTTAGGCTTCCATTTTGAGATGTTGTGAACTACAGAAGAAATTGAAAAAAATAAATCTAGAAGAAGGTCGTCTTCTTTATAAATCTGTTTAAAAAAACAAATTTTAAAAATCAAATAATTTATAGACTTTCACACATGACTTTAAAAAAAATTTGTCCCAAATAGAGTGCTGGTATTTTCCAATCGTCTGACATGTACCAGGTGCTTAACCACACACCGGAGAGGCCAAGAAATCCTAGAGGAGGATCAGAAGTCTCAAACTAGTGGCCAGTAAACTTACTCTATTTAGTTTGCATAGAATTGCAGTAAAATATTTCACTGCCTTTTGGAATTTTTTATCCTGAAATGCATTTATACTTGCAGCAGACTTATACAAATAATACAGGGTTTCTAGATACTCTGATTCACCTTCCCCCGGCCTACCTTTTACATAACCATAGTACAGTTATGGAAACTAGAAAATTAACATTCATATACTGCTGTTCATTAATCTATATGCCTTATTTGAATTCCACCAGTTTTCCAAATAAGTTTTTTCTCGGACCACAATATTTGTAAGTCTTACACCTATTCCCAACATTTTTAAATGCCAGGGATGTCCCATAACATTCTAAATCGTAAGCTTCTCTTGAAAAAATCAGAAGATGTAGTAACACTGGGCCTGTGTTCCTGCCAGGGCAACAAGGAGCCAGAGCTGAACAGCAGCCATCCCTCTGGAAAGGGCACGTGCTCTCCGTTCAGTCCCTGTACCTTGACACACATCCCCCCCCCATAAGACCAACTCTTCTGCTAAGCTCTGCTGGCAGCAGCAGTCTAGCAACAATAGCTGCTATGTGTCACCTAACCGGCACTATTGTTTTTCTTACAGTAGAATTACAAGGAAAGTGGAATTATTAAAACACTCATGTCTATCAAAAGTAACAAAAATGAAAGGTACACAAAGAGAAACACATATCTTGAGAAAACTGAGAGACCTGTATTTGTGGAAAAGAAGAGTATTCCTTCATATCCAATATGTAGGCAGAGTATGCTTCGGTTTAGAACAGACACCCACAGTTTGCTCCATTACAGCCCCTGGCTGGCTTTTGTAAGTGCTTGAGTCTGCAAACTCCTTACATAGCTATTACTCTAAAGAAGCTTTGGTGTGAAAATAAGGCATACATTTGTGGAGACTTAGACAACAATTATATAATAAATACACAAAAAATTGCCAAGATGTCAATGCTGAATCAGTTCGACTTCTGTCCTAACCATTTCCAACACCCAGTCTTCCACGCAGACTGGGACCAGCATCTCTTCCGACTCCACTTGGCTGGCCCTTCACATCCAGGGCCATTCTCCTTAGCCCTGCTCAGCAACTTAGCCCACTGCCCTACGCAGCACTTCTAAACCTTCAGCACCTTCCTCAAATTTCTCCTCTGCTACTCACCTTCTCGTTTTTAGCTGGTCACACGTTGCCTTCTATTTTTCAAAGACAAGAGAGATCACTGAGCAATCACTGAGTAACCCTTTCACATCCTCACATCCACGCCTTTGTTGCTGTCTCAGTTAAAGACTTGCCCTTTCACGGGATGCCATCTTCTCCTACCACTTCAGAAACCGTGCTCTTCACCCTGTCTCCCTCATCCCTTCAACTCCCACTTCTCTCACTCTCTACTGGCCCTTTTCTTCCACATAATGGCCAGACTATGCTTGACAAACATATCTTCTTTCAACCCCACTTTGCACCGTGGCAACTGCCCTGTACTGCACCTTCCCTTTGCAGCCAAACAAACCTGTATCTATGGTTAATGTGTCCACCTTTACCCCTCCTATTTACTCCGTATCCAGCACCACTTAAAAAGTACTCTTCAAATGAATGATACCAATGGCTTCTTTGACAAAACCAACGGAAACTTTTGCATCTGGGCAGGGCCCACTTCCTCTCAGAAATGCTCTGTTCTCTCGGCTTCTCTGATACTGTGCTCTTGGAATTCCTCTTTCCTGTCTAGTGGTTCCTTCTCAGGTCCACAGCCTCTTATCCTCTGCCTCTGTTATTTACCCTACTGAGTAGGTAACCTCCCTAAGCCCAAGGTTGTCCAGTGTTCCCGTCTTGACCAATCCGCATATTCACCTCTCTGACATTCGAGGGTAAGTGTGCCTCTTCTTTCTGCCACCTCCTCAGCAATCACACTTTAAGAACACGAACTATTTTTTTATCTCTTGAACAGCTCTCCAGCACACAGCATCCGCAGAGCGTGGCACAGAGTAGACGTTAAAACTTGTGAGCCAGACATGGTGGCATGCCCCTGGAGTGTTACCTGCTCTGGAGGCTGAGCCAGGAGGATCACTTGAGCCCAGGTGTTCAAGGCTGCAGTGAGCTATCATCACACCATATATGCTCCAGCTGTGTGACAGAGCAAGCTTTTTTCTCAAAATGAATGAATGAATAAAACAAGACCAGGCACAGAGCCTTATGTCTGTATACCCAGAACTCCGGGAGGCCAAGCCAGGAGAATCGCTTAAGGCCAGGAGTTTGAGACCAGCCCGGGCAATGTAGAGAGACTCTGTCTCTAAAAGTGAAAAAATAATTAGCCTGATATGGTGGCATGTGCCCGTATTCCCAGCTAATTGGGTTGCTGAGGTAGGAGGGTTGCAATAGCCCAGGAGTTCAAGGTTCAATGGGCTATGATTGTGACACCGCACTTCAGCCTGGGTACCTTGCCCTTTAAAAAAAAAAAAAAGTAAAAAACTAAAAAAAGACTCGTGAAGAAGTAAATGTTAGCAAACTTGATGGAGCCCTGCGCAATCCCAGAACTCCCTCCCCCAACAATCTTCATTAATGTTTACAAAGTCTGCTCAGTGATGTTTGTTTAATATAAGGCTTTGGAGTCAAATATCTTGGAAGCCCAGTACTAGTCAGTCCCCCTTTACTAAGAGTATGACCTTGGGCAAATAAATCTCCATGAGCCTCCTTTTGCTCACTGTGACATGGAAATAACTGTGGCACCTGCTTCTTAAGGTTGTGATTATGAAGCAGGAAGAATGTTTGTAGTCTTCGGAGAGCAGCAACCTGGCATGTAGCAGACAGCAACACTTAATGTCAGCAATAAATAATAAGCAGAGTTCATATTATTGTTTCCTTAGCATCAAGATATACTGACTAAATTAGGAGCCCTGCTGAATTTCCACGCTGAGAAAACAACAAAAAATCTGTTTTCTGCTATCACTCGGGAACATTCTCCCATTTGTTCATTAAACATTTTACTGAGTCCTGACTGTGCCCAAGTCCAACTTCAGGTTCTGTCCTGAAGCGTTCTTGGCTCCTGCAAACACCCAGTGATTCTTCTTGGCAATCGAACTAAAACGTCAAAGCTTCACCATTCCACTGGGTCACCGTAAAAATAAAACAGAATTGAAAACAAATAATAGTAAAATAGAAGCTCCAGATGTGCACCTCTGGACCCCGGAGTGGCGTCTGATAACCGCGCCACCCCCCGCCCGCCGTCCCCTGCAGCTGCCCCAGCGTCCCCGCCCCGGCAGGCAGGCGCGCCCCCGGGGGCAGCGCGCGCACGAGCTCGCCCACAGCGCAGCCCTCGTCACCCACCTGCTGCCCAGAGGCCAACGCGCACCACCAAGGGCGATTTTCTCAAGAGACTCTCGTCGGGGGCCTGTCCCGTGCGGGCGCGAGCCTCGCGCTGCCTTTTAAAGCCCGGCGCTGCCCCTGTGCCCGGTGCGGGCAGCGCCACGCCCCTGGCGCTTTGCATCCGCGCTGGTGCTTTCCTTTTAGAACTTCGGGGAACTCCGGTGGCAATAACCACTCACACTTCCGCTTAGGCGGCGGCCTGGCAAACCCACTCGGGGGATTTCCATGACTCTGAACCGCGGCACATCCGCGTGGCATTTACACTGCGAGACCTTTGTTTCCTGATGCCTGGGGCAGAGGGAATCTTGATAACCAATAAAAAGATGATCATTACTGGAAAGGCCCTCCATTTGCCACTTACAGATGAAAAGGTTAGGCTTCCAGTCTTCTACTATAGCTACCTACGTCCAGCATTTGAAAAAAAAAAGAAAGAAAGAAAGAAACACCGAAATCTTTATGATTATTTTTACTTTTGGTTCTGATCAAGAAAGTAAGAGATGAAAGAGAGTTGTCAAAAAAAAAAATTATACAGCTCTCCATTTTTTTTTTTTTTTTTTTTTACTATTTTAAAGATTGGAAAAGTTATTTGTTTTGTTTTGGAGCTTGGCAAGTGGTTGGTTGGGTTTTTTTCTTTTTATAAGTAGGGAGGACTTGGCTATAAAAATTTCCTCCTCTTAGCCTTTGGTCTCAACAGTGGAAGTCTCTGAATTACAGTGTCATGGAAACACTTTGAGTCTACCTGCATGGCCTTACTGTCCTCAACATTCTCTGTCTAAGCAGTAAAGTTAAGCAGCTTTAGCTGAGAGCAGCATATAGTAGGCTTGCAGATGGATTGGGAGAACTCAGGTGATTTTCTGTCTTCCAGCCAATGAAAGACTCTCTCACCAAAGGGAGAGCCCATAGAGATTACTTGATTTTTCATCTTTCTGTGGAAAAGGCATCTGGTGGCTTCACCACAGACTCGGACAAGGCAGAGGCGTCTTCTGATTTAGGCTTTGGCGATCCATCGCAGCTGACTTTCCAGTTGGAATTACAGAAGAAAGAATAAGTTTGTTTATCATAGGGAGACTTCAATCCACGTTTAATCCGGCTTAATTAAAGACTTTCTCAGTCATTTTTAACTCTTGAGACAATTGGAAACATTTTAGGGACCTTACATATTTTTGATCATGTATCCACCAGAAGAATTTTGAAAAACTATATTCCCTTGCCCAGTTTTAATTTAACATTAAAACTTAAAGTTGTTGTAATTACCAAGAATCTACAAAATGTTAATAGATATTTTTAATAAAACTGATGCACATTTTATAAATGTATTTGAGGGACACTTACACCATAGCCATTTGATGTCCACCATCATCCATGAAACAATAATCAGGTTATCTTTAGTAGTTGGAAATATTTATATCATTCCCTTCTGTCCTTGAGCATTCCACGTCCCCTACAGAATGTTAATATATCTTCATACTGGACATCTTTCATGATCTCTCTGTGACAAATCTCTGAAATAAATATATTTACGAATTGAAATTTTTCCCTTGGGCCCATAAAGTACTAAATGTTAAAGAAAAATTCCTCATTGATTGCATTATCATTGGTGTTATTACTTTTCATACACAATTGCTCAAGACAATATAAAAACATTATAAATGTTAATAACTATTAGAAATGAGATTTTATTACAAATGCAATTATAAGGAGGTTGCAGCTTACATTTTAAACAAGTTCAAGCATGTGTTCATGAATATTGGTAGAATATGACAGAGTTCAGCATAGATTCTGTTCCTTTTTTTCTTTTTCTTTCCTTTTTTTGAGACAGTCTCACTCTGTCACCCTGGGTAGAGTGCCATGGCATCATAGCTCACAGCAACCTCAAACTCTGGGGCTCAAGCAATTCTCTTGCCTCGGGCTCCCAAATAGCTGGGACTACAGGCCCCCACCACAATGCCTGGCTATTTTTCAGACAGGGGTCTCCCTCTTGCTCAGGCTGGTCTCAAACTCTGAGCTCAAGCATCCACCAGCCTCAGCCTCCCAGAGTGATAGAATTACAGGCATGAGCTACTGTGCCAGCCTCTGTTGAGTATTTCCCTTTCTGTAGTTTATAGATAATGAAATACCCTTTTCACATAAATACATGAGTGAGAACATAAGAAATACTTTTCTGGCAATGTTTTCACATTTTTTGGAATATCTCTGTTTTATATTCCAAAAATCACGTAGTGATTTCAGTGGACCACTCAATATTGTTGAAGGAAGCTCTGAATTTTTGTTACCCATATAAAGTTGCCAGAGTGAGCAAATGAAAACACAGGCCAAGCTTTGCACGGTGGTGTGGCGGCATAGTAGCCAATGAGGTTTCTACAAGGCACAATTATTGCTAATTGAAAACTTTTCCCAGGACCCCGCCATGAAGACTTACAAGATGTTAATAGTTGGCATTGACAATTTTTGACAGTTTTTGTGGAGACAAAATAAAAAAAAAACAACAGGATACCTAGTTAAATTTAAACTTGAGATAAACAATGAACACATTTTTAGGATTAGACTGTGTTATGCAATATTTGGTAAATATCTATGCTAATAAATTATTCAATAGTTATCTGAAATTCAAATTTAAGAGGGTATCCAATATTTTATCTGACAACTGGATACCTAGCTATTAGAGTAATTCACTTTCTCAACACTAATACCAATTATTTCAAATTGTCCAAGAGGTTCTTATACTCAGAGGTACTCTATCATTTTAAAACTCAGGCTGAGTGAGAGGTGAGCTTATCTTCTGTAGCAAGTGAGAGGTGAGCCCATCTTCTGTAGCATTGTGAAAAGGGAGGTGAGAAGAAAAAGTAAGCCCTGGACAGCTATTGATTTCGGGCACATCAGTTTTAGGGAAAACTACACAGAAAATGAAAATTAGGTTGTTAATTCCTTAAAATTATTTGAGCTCACTTACCTATTGGTAAGTCTTTGTAAATATCCAATTTAAAGACTCTGGCTTAAGAAATCCCTGAACTGGCTCGGCACCTATAGCTCAACCGGCTAAGGCGCCAGTCATGTACACCTAAGGTGGCGGGTTTGAATCCCCAGCCCGGACCCGCCAAAACAACAATGACGGCTGCAACCAAAAAATAGCCGGGCGCTGTGGCGGGCGCCTGTGGTCCCAGCTACTTGGGAGGCTGACACAGGAGACTCGCTTGAGCCTAGGAGTTGGAGGTTGCTGTGAGCTGTAATGCCAGGGCACTCTACCCAGCGGGACAGCTTGAGGCTCTGTCTCAAAAAAAAAAAAGAAAAAGAAAAAGAAATCCCTGAACTAAGATGGATTCCCAAATTCTTCAAACTGGTAGTGACAGCCAGGATCAGACTTGTCAGGCTGGAAACGGATAGAAATGTCTTCTTTGTAACACTTTGCACAACTTTGTTAAATTTTTTTTGAAGTAATTGTTTTCCCAGAAAGATGACTATAGGGAGGGACCGTGAGTATCTTGTTCACTGCATTGTTCTAGTACTAGGAAGGTTTCTGTACACACTCGATGCTCAGTAATCTCTGTTGACGAACAAAATTGGAGCCAACCTATACACCTGGGCTTGCTTTATTCTAATTCTGCATCCAAATTTTTAACAGTGTAATAAATTTGCATTTTTCTTCTAACCCTTGTGTATTCCAAGTATTTTATACAAAAATTCTCTCTTTTCAGCATCCAGCTCACCTAAATAGATTTTATCTATACATTCTGTTTTTGAGGCAGAAATACACAAGGAAACATTTGCAGAAGTGACAAGGTAAACTCATACTGTAGAGCCATTAACTATCTCTAGTTTTATTGTGAGGGTGTGAGCGAGCTATCAGTGAGTTTTCCACTCCATTCCTGGCTCAGAATTCTGATCATTCCTAACAGTTTGCATTCTAAATATCCTATGCATTCTAAATATCCTGTTAGTAAATCATCAACTTAAAAATATTTTTCCCTGAAGAGTAATCATGGTAAAAATATTTTTTTTCTGTGGAGGGAATTTCAGTGCAGTTCCAGCCTAATGTTTTTTCCTGTTTTTAGATTTTTATCTATAAAAATTCTACCCAGGAATCTAGAACTGAAAGTGAAAGTAAAAATCTATCAGGAACTTGCTGTTCTGGTTCCAAAGTTACCCTGGGAGTTGTAAATTCTGGGAATTTCCTTATCTGTTGACTCCTTCATGACATCTTGCAAATAAAATGCGTCAGACCAGCCTTGAATAAGTGCAGGTGAAGATCAAATTTACAAAGGAGGATGTCCTTTAATATAGCCTTTTCTGAAAATGAGAAAGTTTGCCTCTTATAAATGGTGGATTGCTTTAATTTATTCTGGCAGTATTATCATAAAGCACAATTTATATTTTACAAAGTTCAGAGATCTTAAGTAGATGGATAGACTCAGGCAATCATTAACCAGATGAAGATCAAAAAACGTTTTCTTTCATCTCAGAAAATTCCTTCATGGTCTTTTCCAGTCAATACCAGCTAGAACCGACCTCCGGCCTCCACTCCTCCCCTCAGTCACCATCATGATTTCCATCACTGTGGATTTGGTTTGTCTATTCTTGAACTTCATAAACATATGATGTGTACTGATACTGGCTTTTTTGGCTGGGTGCAGTGGCTCATGCCTGTTACCCTAGCACTCTGGGAGGCCCAGGTGGGTGGATTGCTTGATCTCACGAATTCGAAACAAGCCTGAGCCAAAAGTGAGACCCTGCCTCTACTAAAAATAGAAAAACTGAGGCAAGAAGATCTTTTGAGCCCAAGAATTGGAGGAGGTTGCTGTGAGCTATGATATCACAGCACTTGAGACTCTTTCTCAGAAAAAAAAAATACTGGCTTTTTTCACTCAACGTATTTTTCAGTTTCATCAACACCACAGTGTATATCAGTAGTTGTGTGCAAATGTGCTGTGTAAATGTACCAGAGGTTGTCCATCCACTCTCCCATCCTGCTGATGGGCATTTCAGTTGTTTCCTGGGTCAATCCTTTATGAAAAGAAAAGCTATAAACCTTTTGGTTTAATCTCTTTGTGAATCTATGAATTCACATTTAGATACGGAATTGTCATTGGGTAAGTGTATGTTTCTTTTCACTTACAAAGTGTTTGTACCATTTTATACTCTCACCAGCAATGTAGAAGAGTTTGAATTGTTACACAACCTCGCAAGATGGTCTTATCAGCCTTTTTGATTTTAGCTTTTCTTTTGTATAATGCCAGCCCATCCTGCTTTTACTGTCTATTTCTCTGGTGATTAATAATGTTGATCATATTTTCACATGTGTCACAATTTATACTATATATATTATACTTTATGAGGTGCCTTTTCAAATCTGGCCATTTTTAAATGGAATTGATTGACTTTTTATTATTGATTTAGGAGAATTCTTTATATATGCTGCCTATGAGTCCTTTGATATGTGAATTTTGAACATTTTTCCCCATTTGTGGCTGGTCTTTAGCCTTCATTAAGGGTTTCTTTTGATGAGTATAATATATTAATTCCATGAAAGACAACTTAACAATTTTTTCTTTTAGGTGTAGTGTTTTATGTACTGTTCAAGAAATCTTTGCCTACCCTAAGATTATGAAGATTTTATGCTTCCTTTTAGAAGCTTGTGACATTCCTTTTTACACTTAGAACTATGGTTCATCTCAAATTAATTTTTGCATCTGGTGTCAGGTTAGAGTCGAGGTTTTATTTTTTTCTCTAAATATTGTTCCAACACAATTTATTAAAAAGACCCATTTCCTCTAGAATTTGCTCTAGTGTCTTTGTCAAAAATCAACTGAACGTATATGTGGAGATCTGCTTCTGGACTCTTCATGTTCTGTTCTATTAATCCATTTGTCTGTCCTATGCTAATACCGTTCTGCGTTGATTACTATATCTTTATAGTAAGCCTTGATATCACATAAGCTATGCTCTCTAACTTTGTTCTTCAAAAATGTCTTGGCTATTCTGAGTCATCTGAATTTTCATAAATCTTTTAGACTAAATTGTCCTGTAAATATCCTTCTTTAAAAGATGACTTATTTTGCTCCTGGGAATTTGATTAGCATTGAGTTCAAGTCCATCTATAGATCAGTGTGACAAGTACAGATAGCTAATGTTATTGAGTCTTCTCATCCATGAGCATGGTGTATCCCTACATCTATTGACTCTCTTTAATTTTCTTTAAGTGCAATGATCTTTCACAACTTTTGTTTAGATTATTCCTAAGTATTTCACACATGACAAAGTATGCCTATTTGATCCTGTGAGATAGTATCACTAGCAGAATTTCAGAGCTGTGACAGGTGTGGTGGAGGTTCCAGAGTCATGTCAGGGAAGAGTAAGGCCCTGGAGTAGGAATGAGCTGTTAGCAGCTCTCACAGCATTTGGGATTGTGGAGCATGGGAAGATGTAACAGCCAGTTCATAATTTAAAGCTAAAATCTCTAGGTGTCTGCCCTAGCACCCGACAGACTCATAGCAGCCAAATCAACTAAAAACCTGCTCCCTCTGACAATGTTGGGACAGTCCCCTGTGCTAGCTAGGAAATAGTACCCTTAGGCAGGGGACACTGGTTCAGACAAGAAAGGGGACTGAGAAGACTGGCAGGGTGGCAGGAGAGAGATGGTCCCCAGAGAGCTGCTACTGTACAGAGGGACTCGCAGTGACTCTTTCTGCATCTTGAATCTTCCAGCTTTCCATTGCTGACGTCATTCCTGTTTTTCTATAGAAAGTATTTGTGAAGCAGGTGGGTTTGAGTATATTCCTAAGACCTAAAAACTTTATTTATTCATTCATTATTTATTTATTTGAGACAGAGTCTCACTTTGTTGCCCTGGATAGAGTGCCGTGGCATCATCATAGTTCACAGCAACCTCAAAATCTTGGGCTTAAGCAATCCTCTGGCTTCCATTTTTCTATTTTTAGTAGAGACAGGGTCTCACTCTTGTTCAGACTGGTCAAGAACTCCTGAGCTCAAGCAATCCACCCACCTTGGCCTTCCACAGTGCTAGGATTACAGGTGTAAGCCACTGCGTGCCTGGCCTCAATCACAGTTTTCTTACCTTATTATTAGACATTATTAATAATTAGCTTTGCATTTATTGTATTTATCATAAGATATTGCTTTTTATGGATTTAAGCTGAGTGGGAGAAAAATAATTTTAATAATTCACTCACTCATGCACTGGACTTATCCAGAAGGATCTACAGAATTTAATGCAGTAAATGAATAGGACTCCCTGACTTCATATTATCCTATTTTATATCTAAAAATTCAGGAAGAATTTGGAAATGAAAAAGTAAATAAATTTGCTTTTGCACAGATTGAGAAACAGTTTCTCTTAAAATAGAAAGCATTAGTGTCTACAAATTACAGGAACAGTATACATTGATTTAGGAACCGAGAATGCTGGATTTCAGGCTTTGGCAGTAAGGGAATTTTTAAAACACCCCTCATCTG